ATTGCAAACTGTATGCGTCATATATTAGTGAGTGGTGCACATAAAAAGAAAACGACCTCTAAATTAAAAGCGAGCAAGAACAGTGTGCATAGCGTAGGCGCCAAATGTCGCCGAGCTTTAAGAGGCGCTGAGTTCCCACCACTCGACAACACTGCAGTCCTCATTTTGTGATTTTGCTCAGTGATGAATAAAAGGTGAAAGGAGAGTGAGAAGAGGAAGGGAGTGAAACGGATGAGGGGGAAACGCGCGCGTCAAAGAGGAACGGGAAAATCAAATTCCTCCTGAGGCATATTTACCAACTCTCTACAGATTTCTTTTCGGGCGCTAAACATTTCTCAAAACGTCTACCCCCGATCCCGATGCTGCTATTAATACCAAGTAACAGACTAATACGGGTTCCCCGACACTCCATAGCTGTAAGCTTCGCTACCAAGCGGTCTTGAGTACAGACTTTCACGCCTTTGTCACTAAAATTCTCGACGGATGTGGCACCAATTGAGTGAACTCCGGGTGCCTCCATTTCACTGTGGTGTGCACCATGGTGAGGATGCCAAATGTCGCCAAAAATTTCAAAAAAGAAGAAACAGAAACTCAGCTTGAAACGCATCAGGCTTGCCAGTGTGATCATGCGTTTTTGCACCAGACTTGAGGTACTCAGGTCATCAACTGCATGAATGGTTGTTTCTTTACACCTACCTTGTGCGCTCGCTAGCGTAAATCACTATAAATATTGCATAAAGTAAATGAACAATTTCCATTTAACGGTCGTTCTTTGAAAGTAACCTAGCTATTCAGTGAGGAATTTTGCCGTCAAAACTTTAAAGTGCCACCACGTGAGAACCACGCATACATGAAGGCCGGATTTGAAATATTTAAGTTGTTATTTGGACAGGGGACGCTCCCCTAAAATTTCAGCTTCCTAGCTTTTCTGGTACCCGAATTAGTAATTTTCCCAACGAAGCTTTCACATGCCCATACGTGGGTGCTCCAGGTACGTGGGAAAACTGAGTTTGAAATCTTTAAATTGCACGTGAACAGGGAACATTCCCCTTATATTTCAGCCCTCCAGATTTTCTGGTTACCGAGTTAGCAATTTTCCCGCCGAATTTTTCACGTGTTCGTAAATGAAAACCGTGCACACCTAAAGGCTGAATTTGAAATATTTAAATTATACTTGGGCAGGGAACATTGCCCTAAAATCTCAGCTAACCTTTCTGGTTCCGGAGTTATTAATTTACCCGCCAGAAGTTTCATATGCCGTTACGTGAGTACCACGCATACCTGGAGGCTGAGTTTGAAAGTTTTAACTCACACATGCACAAGGAA